TTCAATTGTTGGCCAATTAATTTGTGTTCTTGTTAATTTCTTTGACATATATGCTAATGGTCGATCACCATTGGGGGTCATTTGTAATAAAACAGCCCCGATTCCATCTACAGAAGCATCAGTTTGTAATTTAAATGTTAATGTATCATCAGGTAAATCGAGAATAAGATCAGTTGTTAATATTTTCTTGAGTTGGTGGAATGCTGTTCTAGCTTCAGCAGATAATTCAAATTTTAATTTTTTATTATTCTTCTGTTGTTGTACTGTTGCTGGAGAATATTTATGTAATGGTGCAGCGATGGTGGAAAATTTTGGAATAAATTTTCGGTAATATTCTGCTGCTTTGACGAATCTAAACGCTTCTTCAGCTGATGTTGGTTCACGTGTTTCGGTCAAACCACGGATGTTGTCTGGATCAGGTTTAATAGTACCTGCTTTAATTAAATGTCCAAGAAATAATATTTCTGCTCTTGCAACTTCGCATTTGTCAACATTTAATTTAAAATTGGCTTCTTGTAATAACAAACATACTTCTTCGATATGTTTTAAATGTTCATTAAAATTTTGTGAATAAATAATAATATCATCGATATAGGCGAGTACATGTTCCCATCTGTTTGGACCTAATATTTGATTAACAATACGTTGAAATGTTGGTGGTCCATTAGTAAGACCTTGTGGTAATACTTTAAATTGAAAATGTCCATCTCGAGTTGAAAATGCTGTTTTTGGTCGATCTGCTTTGTTCAATGGTACTTGAAAATAACCAGCTTTAAAATCGAATTTAGTTAAATATGTTGCTTTTGTTAATTGCTCATAAATATCATCAATTCTTGGTAGAGGAAAAGCATCTTTTGTTGTAATTTGGTTTAAACGGCAATAGTCGACGCAAAATCTTGTTGTTCCATCTTTCTTTTTAACTAGTACGACTGGTGAAGACCATGGGGATGTTGAATGTTCAATAATTCCATTTTTTAATAATTTTTCTGTTTCTTTTCTTAAGATTTCTCGGTCTTTGTTAGATTTTCTATATGGTAGAGTATGAATAGGTCGATGTGTACCAGTGTCGATAGCATTTTTTTAAAATTATATCAATTTTTGATGGTTCACTAATGTCGAATAGTTTTCCATATTTCCATAAAATTTTTAAAATTTGTTCCCGTTTTTTATCGTTTTTAATATGGTCAGTTAATTAATTTATTTGTTGTCTTATTTCTTCAGGATAACATTTGTTTCTAAGGTGTTTAAATAATTCATTGCCAACATTAAAATGTTGATAACATTCACGACATTGATGTTGTTTTCCATGTGATGTTGTAATCGGCATATTATTACAATTTAATTTATTCGATGTATTCGCTCTTTTCCCTTCAGGAATGAGCACTTTACATGCTTTTCCTTTCAGAATGCGTTCTGTTAAGTGATCTGATGGTATGGTGACACCAATTGTAGAAGATAATTGTCTCACTATGCCTAATTTTGTTCCTTCGGAAAGTGTTTGCTTCCGATTCGTTGCATTAATTATACTAATTTTTAGTGTACTCAAAAAGGGAGTACACTACTAAAATCGGTCTGTGTGTCCGGCCGTCCGTTTACACGATAACTTTCGAAAGAAGAGTCAGATTGCGATGAAATTTTCTACACAGCTTAGTCTTGAAAATATCTCGGTCGAGTTCGAAGATGAGAAGGATCCGTCAAGAAATGACTGAGTTATCGAAAAAATTGTGATTTTTGACCAGACCATCCCTGAGGGGGGGGGGGTACGGGGATTTTTCGAAAAAAAATTTTTTGCCCATAATTATTCACAAAATACATAAATCGACTCAGTTTTTAACGCTGATTCTGAATCTGATATTAGTTTTGAACCGAATCATAGATTCGTGTACTAGAAAAGTGAGTACACTATAGAATAGTCAATGTGTCCGTGCGTCCGGTTGGCTGTTCACATGATAACTTTTGACAGCAGAGTCAGATTGCAATGAAACTTTCTACAAAGCTTAGTCTTGACAATATCTCGGTCGAGTTTGAAGGTGAGAAGGACTGGCCGAGCCGTTCATGAGTTATTGCGAAAATGCCCCTTTTTACCTATAGCTTTCTGTGGAAAAATAGACCCATCGCGGCTTTCGTAAAAGAGTTTTCCTATCATAGTCAATTAAAATCCTAACTATTATATACCATTCGATAGAGAATTTCAAGAGCTACAAAATGATGTATAAAACATAAAGAAATAAGAAGGTTGACTCACCTATCGCAAGAATAATTAAAGAGAACTGGGCTATATTTTGGTTCACGATCTAATTGATCCACAAATCGAGCTCTATCTCCCGATCACAGTGATGATGTTTCGAGGTTTTCAGAGATGAAGAACTCGAATGTGTATTGCACTCCCAACGTAATACTATTGGTTGTGCAGTGGCCAATAGAAATCAAGTTATAGGAACCCATGTCTACTCGAACGCTGTGGTACGCGTGACGTCACGAACGCTTGGTACGCGTGACGAGCATAGAGGTGACGTCACGCGTACAGAGTGTTACGTCAATGATACCATCACGCGTTCCGAGCGTTACGTGTATAGCGTTCTACGGCGCGTACGGAGCGTACGTACAGTTTGTAACACGTCTCTCTATTGGTCCGTTTTTAACCCAGAATCTACGTGCTACCTTCGTCTGATTTTCTAATTAACTGTAGAAAAATAATTTATTTTCTATTAGAATTTTATTTATATTTTAAAAAATTTAACAACTCGAAAAAAAACAGGTACACATAAAAAATTAGAAATTATTTTTTTCCACAAAAACAAAATTAATATAATAAAAAAATTGAAAACATAGAAATTATTGCTTCTACTTAGGGCATACCAAAAGTAGTGAGAGTGACACTTTAATACCGTATGATGAACTTAAAGAAACTTTCTTTCTATATAGTCTGATAGAGAAAAAAAAGCTCTATCTTTCTATGGTATTTGGTCATACTTCAGCTAATATCATATTAATGAAATTTCGATAAGATCTGTTTTGTTCGCATATGTCACGGTTCTATGAATGCTACTGAGTATTTTTTGAATAACTGTTGATACAAATAAGATAGAGAAGTGTGATCTTCACCATTGGAAAAAGGAGATGAAGATGCATCGAATTGTATATTGTAGATTTTTCTAATATTGACTTCTGAAGTATTTTTATTAAATTTTCTAACAATCGTAAAAATGGTTCTTTTATGAAAAAAAAGGAGAAAGCAAAAAACTAAGCTTTCTTCACAGATTTTACTACAAAATCGTATTAGAGGTTTGACAAGAATGCATAATATTTATCTTAGCGTTCCGAACCTTTTAGATCTTGGATTAGTGGCTTGAATTTATACTTGATAATTAGAAATTCATTGTACAAAAACATACCAGATAGGTTTGTTTTTGAAAAGATCAATTGAAAAACTTACAAAAAACAGATTAGGAAAAACTGGGATACATGACTCAATGCATCTTTATCTCCTCTTTCCAACGGTAAAAACCGAAGTACTCTATCTTGTTTTTATCAAAAGTTATTCAAAAAATAGTCACTTGTATTTTTTAAAATGAGTATTAATACAACCAGCACATATGATAGCGAAACACATCTTATCGAAATTTTAGTATTATGATATTAGTTGAAGCATCATTAAATCGCATAGAAAGATAGAGCTTTTTTTTCTCTATCAGACTATACAGAAAGAAAGTTTCTTTAAGTGTACTATCTGGTGCTAAAGTGTCACTCTCACTACTTTTGGTATGCCCTATGTAGAAAAAAATTTAAATAATAAAGGAATAAAAAAACCAATTATTTGATCTAGAAATAAAAGAAATTTAGATAATAAAATAATTTTAAAACTTGAAACAATTCAAAATTTTTTCAAGACAGTAAAGGATATGGCCTTCGACTAACGTTTTTATAAGTGTGCTTTCTTTGTTATTTATTGGTTCATAAAAACGAACCAATAAAAAAAAGAAAAATATCACACTTGGTACGTGTGACAAACGGATGTCACGCTTCGTACGCATCACGAGCGGCTGTTACGCTCGGTACGCATGACGTACGCGTTATGTCACGCGTACTAAGCATGACATAGCGTGACATCACGCGTACCAATAGCGTTCGAGTAGACATGGGAAAAATGACTGTTTTAGGGTAAATCAAGGGAAAGACTTCAAACTTGAGCTGTGTTCGATCCCAAGTCCTATTGGTTTGGCAACGCGCAATGAAAATCAAAATTTGAAATGCTAGTTTTCCCAGTATAATTTTGATGTTCAGACATTCTAGGATGACTGATTCGTATGATCCACTTTTTGAAGTACACATAACTCTCGGATTTAAATCCGAAGTTTCCGCATTTATTTGTACATTAACTATTTTTTCAAGTAGTAAGTTTCCATATTTTAATAGCATTTATTTATCCTACAAGCGTTGCATGAATTGCGACCATTTCTCAAAGTTAAGCTGTATGTGAATGGAAAAGACAGGCTTCAATTCATTTTAATATATCAACTTTTAGTGCTATTGATTTTATTTCCACTGAAAGTAATAGAAAGTACAGCACATCTTTATTATAATATACTACAGATGAATAAGAAGATCTTCAATCAGATGATAATGACAAAGATTTTTCTTGCACCAAGCGCAAACTAGAAGCGTTCGATTTCCACAATTAACCATCGAATAATAAAGATCATGAAACTTAAAACATATATCCTTTGGTTTTCCAATTTCTCCAATTGTGTCATGGATTATTTTAGCTTGTATGAATCCCGATTTCATCAGATTTTAAAATGGTGGAGCAGACAATTGCTTATGAATAACAGATTGCATATTTATAAAATATTGACGATCACTTATATCGATTTCTGTTCGATTGATGTGTGTATAATGTTCGATTTTCTTATGGAAAAATTTCCATGAAAGAAATAAGGATAAATGTTCTAGGTTGAATATACCTAGTAGATCCTTCAGGAAAAATTAATAATTGACTTTTTTGATCTGGAAATGCTGCTTTAAATTTATTTCGATCAGCTTGAATTTTCCAAGAATCAAGGAAAAGAAGAAATTTTCTGTCAACAATGGGACACAGAACCTTCTTCAAGAAAATCCCATGCTTTTCATCACTACTTTTTCTAGAGGTAGAAGCTCGTACAACCACATTTGGCGGTACGATCAAGTCCTTCTGCACTCTGGCGCCAAATTCATTCTGTTTTTCTTGAAGAATTAGTAAAAATTTACCTTACAATCGGCGATCAGCTGAAGTGATAGGCTGTACTGTATATGAGTGAGTAATATTGTACTTTTTTTTAACAGCCACTTCCGTTGTTCGTTCACCAGTAACCGAGAGAGTTCTAGGAGAAACATACTCCTGGTAAAACGAACAGTGATCAGTGTTTAAAATCTCATGGGGGCATATTTTGAAAACAAGGATCTTTTACTTTCAATCAAATTTCGCGCATCTAAAACATATCATATTATGACAAATATCATGGATTTAAATAAGACTAACATATACCATCTAAAGTGCAAATTTTTCTTGTTCATGTAGCTCTCTTAATAAGTTTGTTGTATCTTCTTGATGAAATTCGATTTTTCCTCTTGAGTCTCTTAATAAAAGATCCATTTCTCTTGAAAGTATTCTAACCTAAATCTTTTGCCTTGTGCATTGCAAAAAGCTCCAGATCAATATCATGAACTGCTTCTTTTTCAAGGCCTCTTTTAATGTAAAATTCGTGCAACATAAAGGGTGTGGGTGTGGGTGTGGTTGTGTGGGTGTGAGTATGGGTATGGGTGCGTGGGTGTTTGGGTGTGAGTGTGGGTGTGTATGGGTATGTGGTGTGGGTGTGTGGGTGTGTGTGTGGATGTGTGTGCGGGTGTCGGTGGACGAGGGTGTTGGTGTGGATGTGGGTGTGGATGGTTGTGGATATGATGTCGATGTGAGTAAATAATCAAACCATCCCACACCCACACCCACACCCACACATCCACACCCACACATCCACACCCACACCCACACCCACACCCACACCCACACCCACACCCACACACCCACACCCACACATCCACACTCACACACCCACACCCACACCCCAATCGTGAGTAAAAAGACTTACAATAACAGGGGATCAACTTTGATTGAGATTTTCACTGGATTTTATTCTGCTGATCAATGTAGTTTTTCTCCTAATTCTGCCAATCGTATGAAAAATTACAGTCGAGCTGAGAAAAAACGAAATTCTGGATAAAATTCGACTGTTATTCTAAATAAAACATACCGTTCGATTCCTCTTGAGATGAAGAATGGAATCATGTTCGTTTTAAAATAAATGAGGAAACCTCGGATTTAAATCCGAGTGTTATGTGTACTTCAAAAAGTGAAGAAACGATTCCTTAACCCAACAACTTTTCTTCAGAATTTTCAAAATCTGACTTCAGATTCGGATTCACCGGTCCCGATTTACTTTCGTCAACCTTTATAAAAAATCGTTGTTTTCTTAAAAAAACCCTTTCTTTGACCCAAAAAATGGAGTTCAAAATTTTCAAAATCTGACTTAAAATTCAGATTCCTCGACCCCGATTTGCTTTCGCCAACCTTTATAAAATATCGCTATTTTCTCTAAAAACCCTTTCCTTGGCCCAAAAGTTTGAGCTTAAATTTTTAATGCTTTATATACCATTTTGTAGCTCCCCATGTCGTGAGAATCACCGCGATTTTCGCGATTTTTTAAAAAATTGGCGTAAAATCGTGATTTATCGTATTTCTTTAAAAGATCGACGATTATATCAGATTTTATCGCGATTATGGGAGAAGAGCTGATTTTCAAAAATTATTGATAAATCATGACAATTATTCATTCACCGTTTTGTTATGAACACAAACGGATATATAAACAACGCCGTTCAATGCATAACAAATAAGTTTTCGAAATATACTTTTCTGATAAATTATTTCTTGGTTATTTTTAATCAGGGAAATGCCAATCCCGATCCATGATCTGGAAAGGACTACATTGAAGCGGTTTGATAAGAATCGGACCAGCTCGAGATCGGACAGATCGCACGATCTGATCGGCTTGGATCTTGAGAACAAAAAAAATTGAATTAAATTCAAGAAAAATTCCAAATATGTGTCTCCAAAAGAACCAATGAAATAGCAGAAAATATCAGTAAACAGACGGCTAAATCTTGCATAAAATCACGATTTATCGCAAAAATCGCTGAAATAATCGGGAATAATCGGCGATTCTATCGCGATTCAGCTCACGATTATCGCTTCGATGAATCGGGATTAATCGGCAATTTTTAGCCGATTCAAAGGACATGGGTCGTGAAATTCTCTATCGAATGGTATATAATAGTTGGGGTTTTATTTTGAGTATGATAGGAAAAGTTTTTTACGAAAGCGGAGATGGGTCGATTTTCTCATAGGAAGCCATAGGAAAAAATGAGTATTTTTGCAATAACTCAGGAATGGTTCAGCCAATTCTTCTCATCTTCGAACTCGACCGAGATATTGTTAAGACTGAACTATGTAGAAAATTTCATCGCGATTGGACTCTCCTTTCAAAAGTTATCGTGTTAACGGCCGGCCGGCCGGACACACTGACCGATTCTAGAGTGTACCCACTTTTTGAGTACACAAAAAGATTTCCGGCAGAATTAGGAGAAAAATTACATTGATCAGCAGAATAAAATCCAGTGAAAATCTCAATCAAAGTTGACCCCCTGCTATTGTAAGTCTTTTTATTCACCACTAGCTCATTCTTTTCTCTATCCAAAAAACATCAATCGATAGAGAAATGTTTGCTCTATTCCGAAAAATGAAGTAGAACTTCCCATGATGTTCACAAGCCGAGCAGCTTAAGTTGCACTAAAGAAGATGTTTTTCGGCAGAATTAGAGTCTAGGACTCTACCCTAGCAGACAAAAAAGGTACAAAAACGTGTTTTTACGCGTTCAAAGTCGCACATTTTAACGAGTTTTACGATTGAAAAGCGCACATTTTCCCGATTTTAAAACGCGTTTTTTGAAAAAGACGACGTTTTATTGTTGTTTTTTTACAACAAACGCGTTTTTAACGTGTTAAAATATGCACTTTTGAACGCATAAAAACGGCGTTTTCAGCGTTTCTCGGTCGTATTTAAAAAACGCCGTTTTTACGCGTTCAAAATTGCATACTTGAGCGGGTTAAGAACGCGCTTTTAAGTTAAAAAAAACGCGAAAAAAGGGCGTATTTTTTTAAACGCATTTTAAAATCGGGAAAATCTGCGCTTCGCAATCGTAAAAACGCGTTTTTTTCGATTTTGTCTGCCTGGGTAGTAAAGAAGTTTTAGGTATAGCAACATAAAGATTAACATGTAGATAAACCGACACACACTAATGCCCGTGATAATGCAGGTACATTTATAAGTAAAGCGTACGGCTAGACGAACATAGGATAGCGATTTAGGAAACCAGAAATGGATTAGAAAGTAAGCATGTTAACAAAAACTATACTTAGGGCGTATCAAAAGTTCGTGTCCCGCTATTTAACGGGCCTCATCGGATGGGTGAACCGATTCAGAAATAAGAAACAAATATATCATCTTGTAGAGCTTTTCGAGCCGCATCGAATGGTATATAGTAAATCGTGTTTTCATAGAACTTTGAAGAACCTAGAGTCAATTTGCTGATAGATGGCTACGCATTCACATCCATCCATGTCGGCATCCATACCCGAGGACCATAAGTTAATGATTATTGTGGTTCTTGTTATTAATTGAAAGCATTTGTAAAATATTGTTTCTCGCATGCGACTTTGTAGAGATTTTGACGGGCTACAACCTCATATACGTACCATCTCCGGTCATCTTGTGAGTGTAGACGTGAGTGTGGATGGGTGTGAATGTGTAGTCGTCCATCAGTAAATTGTCTCTAGGTCCTTCAAAGTTCTATGAAAACAGAATTTACTATATACCATTCGATGCGGCTCGAAAAGCTCTACAAGATAATATATTTGTTTCTTATTTCTGAATCGGTTCACCCATCCGATGAGGCCCTTTAAATAGCGGGGCACGAACTTTTGGTACGCCCTAAGTACATATAATAGCATATTAATTGGACTATGGGTATAGCAATGTATTTACAGCTTACGGTTGTAGTAGAATACCAACTTATCTATAGATACGATAGTATAACCCATTCACCACGATGGATCCCACCAGTGGGACCCGCCATATTTTAACAAAAAATGACTCGAAAAACACTTCTTTTCCTTTTTCCTCGGGCAGAAGGTTTGGTGTAATATATCATCTGCTGCTCTCCGCTATTGTTTGAATTATTTATTACATAGAATAGTGTTTCTCATTGAAACAACCAAGACAATCAAATTTGTCACAATCTGAACAGATGGTTTTTATTTTCTTTGCTGCCGCATGACTCGCTTCTCTTGATTCTCGTTGCCTGATTCTTTTCGTAGCAGCCGAGCATAACGTCTTCAGACATTCCGAGGAGATCCTTCTTTCTCTTCGAGCGAGTGATTAGTGAATTTGCGCTTCGTTTGATCTGTTGAGTTTTGCCTCGGATTCAGTTTCAGCTTCTCGAATGGCGTGCCAAACAGTAAAGATTGGAGGAGACTTTCACGAAACTGGAGAATGGTCACTTCGCTTGCAGCGTAGTTTTCCTTGTATATTAAATAGCTATTAAGTAGTGCCGTCCCAAAAATTAATTTAAATGCCATCTTTCAGTACCATTTTCTTGACCGCCTGAGGCATGTATAGTATGCCAATAGTTAGTCAGATAAATCACTACTCTATCTCCTTTTGTTGTAATCTAGTGCAACTTGCGGCTTCATTCTGCAGTTTCGTGAAAGTCTCCTCCAATCTTTACTGTTTGGCAAGCCATTCGAGAAGCTGAAATTGAATGCGAGGCAAAACTCAACAGATCAAACGAAGCGCAAACTCGGGTGTGGGTGTGGGTGTGGGTGGATGTGGGTGTGGGTGTGGGTGTGGGTGTGGGTGTGGGTGTG